CCTCACTGTGAAGATTTGTTCCCTCTTTTGAACTACTGCATCCATAAGTGTAGGTCAAGTTCATCAAATTGCACCAGATTACTCTTTCGTTCCTCTTCTTTCTTCTTCTAGTTGAGTTCTGATCATCCAGCCATTGAAGCTGGGTCAAGTGGATATTATCTGCAAGTGAGGGAGTTCTTGTGCATATCCCCTTACTTCTTATCAGCTGGATGCTTCACTCTCCGCTCTAGTCCTCTGTGGCTATGTCACTGACTCTGGGCCTAGGAGTCCCCAGGTCTTGGTATACTGCTGGCCAACCAGGTCTTCACCCGGGAAAGGACTCCTGTGGTTCAAAAGGGAATGATTGCTATCAGGTCTGACAGTGAGTGTTGGAAAGGTAAATATGTAAATGTTTGGTAACAAAAGGAGGCGAGTGGCTGATTTTGCAATCCAGAAGCAGAGATCCCTGGAACCATTAACGGAGAAAAGCAAAGTTTGAAGTTCGAGACCCTGTCCTGGGAGGCAGTGATGCTAGGGATGGAGGCAGAGACAATGACGTGGACAGAGGAGCAGCTGAGGACTCTGAACTGAGAAAGGGAGAGGGGCTGTGGGCTGGCAGCTGTGGGGGGGAGGGGCAGGCGTGTGGGGTTGTTTGAGGATGCATACAGGGGATTGTGAGCACTGCAATGAAATGAAATACGATAGGATGAATGTAAAGATAATGTTCACCCATGTAAACTAACACATAATTCACAATAAAAACATATATATATAAAAGACAGTCAGGCATCTTAACATTATTTCCCTTCTTTTATCCATTCAAACCATACCTCAATCCCTGTATCCCAGAGCCCTGTTGTTCCAAGGTTGTGCATCCCACACACTCTTAAACTAAAGTCTCTCTTGAAATCTTTATCGCCCCCTCATTTTAGGTAGCCAGTGTCTAAGTTGCCCTTCTCTATCTACCCTGTATACAGAGGGGATAGCATTGATACTTGATGCGAAGACTACTTCCCTCTCTGTTGGTATTTTGAGCTACTACCTCCATGAATATAGGTCAAGTTCATCAAATTATAGCAATTTATCTTCATTTCCTTTATCAAAAATTGTTTTCTTTTTATCTTCCTCAGGTTGAGTTCTGATTATTAAGCCATCAAGGCTAGGTCAGATGGGTACTATCTGCAAGTTTGGATGTTCTTGTGCATCTCCCCTCACTTCATATCAGCTGGATGCTTCACTCTCAGCTCCAGCCCTCTGTTAAGCCATACTATGGATTTGAAGTATGATTAAATACTTTAAGAAATTGACCAGGGTGAATATCGTAATTTAAAAAATGTCCAGAATGGTAATCTGTAAATTGCGGATTCATGGTATCAGATTTTTTTTGGTAGAGAGCGAGTTGCAATTCCAAAGGACTATCAATCCTGGTAGAAATATTACTTTGTTAGAGAAAAAAAAATCTCCTACATTGAAGGATGAATTACATAGACCTTGGCATAGAAAGCTCAGGTTCTAAATTAAGCTTAATTTGTGCCAATGGGGATTGCATCAGCTGGCTAAAAACGCATGCGCATGTGCATACACACACCCGGACTCTGGTGATTCTTACCTTCTGCATTTTGTTTTTCACTGTAGTGTTTATTGTAGCAACAAGAAAAAAATACTTCTAGAGGATTCCTTCTTGTTGTTTGGCTCCAGGGTAAACTATAAGGTCCTCTCAGCTCATGTTTTCTGGCAATGTCCTCTGCCTCCATTCTCCCCTTGGCGTGTGGCTGCCACCTGAGACAACCCCACCCCAACTCTGACACTGATTAAGTCTGTGTACTTTTTTGAGGATTGATTGCCTTAATTTAGAGGTAAAATTGTAGATTGGAAGATTAAAAATTTAACAAAGGATCCCCCCAAATTTAAATATTTCTTCCAGTGTTGGTATATAGTAGGCTTCAAATTAATTATTGTAGTTCAAAGCCAAAGTGACATCTCCCCAAGTCCTGGTGTGGCGCTGTGGGATAATGTGTCAGACTGCAAAGTCGTTTGAACAGCAAGGTCGGTAGTTCAGGCTCAGCAGCTACTCCTTGGAAACCCTATACAGGGTCGCTATGGAATCGACTCAAAGGCACTTAACAACAACAACATTCAACCCTGTAGCAGCTCAGGAGGAGACAGACACTGACTCTGAATACCACCTACATGCCTTATTAGAAATGGTCCTCTTTCATCCTACTTCCTGACCACCAAAGATTCAGGTTTCTAAGTAGAAAGCTTTTTGAAAATATAAGGTTCCAGTCAGATGGGATTGTTGAGTTGTTATCTACTCTAATTAATTCTTCACTGAACAGATAGGCAAACTGTGGCCAAGAGAAGGGAAGCGATTTGCCCAAGATCACAAAGTCAGCCAGTAGCAGAGCTGAGATTATATTGATACTTCCTATCTCCCAGTGGAGTGCTTTTTCTATGAGCAAGAATGTCTGGCACCAATGAATATAACTTAACCTGCATGGTGTACTTACAGATGTCTACACTTCATTCTCTTAGGTACTGAATTTCTCTTTTAGCTCTAAAATTTTGCACCGAAGTTCAATGGTCTATGGAAATTGTTGCTCCATTAAGTACAGCAGTAGAGGCCCCATCAACAGCAGTAACAGGGAGCCTGGAGGGCCAAATAAAACTCATTTCTCTTTGGGGGTGCAGTGAGGAGGGGAGTGCAAGGGTCTCCATGTAGCTCAGTGAACCATTTGCTGAAAGGATATGAATTTTACTTCCAATTCTTGGTGTCTGGAATGGCTCTATCCAGCGATGGAAAGATAGAAAGATATATTTGCTTAACAAATGCTGTGTTCTAGATTCCATGCTGGGCATGCTAAAAAAGATTTAATATTCTACTTTGTTATCACTCATCCTACAAGGCTAGTGCTGTCTCCACTTGAAAACTAGTGATTCTGGTCACACTGTCAGTAAGCAACTGTGTAAAATAAAAATATATTTACATAGAATATCAACATGTTTCAACAGAATGAAAAGATATGCATTAAATATACTAGAATGGTTACCAGTGAGGATACAAGGGAATTAAAAAATAAACAGAAACAGGAACAGATAGACAAACTGATTCCATAGGCCCAGCTTTTAGTTACTACAGATAATGCTTTCTTATTAGCCCATTGCTAAGATGAATAAGGAGTCCTGGTGTAGTGCTGTGGGCTAATGCACTGGACTGCAAAGTCATTTGAACTACAACGTTGGTGGTTCAAGCTCACCAGCCACTCCTTGGAAACTCCATACAGGGTCACTATGGGCCGGAAGCTACTTGTCAGCACTAACAACAACAACAAGATGAATAAACTGAGAGTAAAATAATGCGAGTCAAGGCATTCAAACATTCATTCAAAGGTAGGGAGAGCATTTGGAAGGTGCCAGGGAAGAGGTATCTGATATCAGATGGGAGATTGGATTTCCAGGCTCTCCTTTTTTCATACTTATACTGCAGGATTTGCAGGCTGCTCATGATTCAGACTGTTTGGAGGACCTTCTCAGATTCCTGCAGCCATATCAAGCCTTTGAGAGAGTGACATCAAGAGACACTGTGTTTTCTGATCGCAAGAAGGATTTCTCTGATGCCTGGAGTACAGATCCATGAGCATCATCAATTAGTTTTATATAAATAGATGACAAGAATGTAATTGCGATATTACAATGAACATGAAACACTCTCATTTCCCCAAAAGAGAAGATTGACTGAATAAATTATGCTTATCCATATAACAGAATACAGGCAGTCTACAAAACGATACTGTAGCATAATATTGATGACCTAAAAAAGGAGTCCTGGTGGGGCATTGTCCAGCAGACACTGGACTGCTAACTCCCGGGTTGATGGTTCAAACCCACCAGCTACTCTTCGGAAACCCCGTACAGAGTTGCTGTAAGTTGGAATCAAGTTGATGGCACCTAACACCAGCATTATTAATTAAAAAATAGATTACAACTTTGTATGTAGAATATTGTCCACATTTTGTACATACTTGCATATATGTAAACACACATACATGTACAAAAATGGCAGACAAAATATGTATATCATAACATTAATAGCGATTATCTTGGGTAGGGGTTTATGGAGGAATCTTTTGTTTCATATGTCTATATTTTCTAATTTTAATTGCTTTTATAAAGAAAAAAAATTATTTAATTTATAGTAAAGATTGCTTTGCCTGTGGATTTTTGATCCTCTTCTATAATCAGCTTGAAAATCATCTTGACTTCCCCTGCCAGGCTGATGCAATGGTTCCTACATTCATGTACAGATGGTTGCTCTTGGACATGGTTGTTGCAGCATGGATCTCATTGCATTATGGTTACTGGGTACATATCCAGTTACAAGCACTCAGCACAGAGCCTGGCACAAAAGCATGATTGGAATGAATGAACTGGTAAATGGGCATGGGGTCAGTAGCTTTGAGTTTCAATACCAGTTCTGCCATTTAAAGGCAAAGCAAATCCCAGTCTCCAGATCTGTAGAGTGGCAATAACAACAATGAAAGGGTCAAGGTAACACCAATGGAGTTTGCAAATGTTGAAGTTCTAGTCACAAGATAGATGGGGATGTAGAGAAAGAAGCTAGTATTATTGCTCCATCGCCTTACCGGTCTGCCTCTCCCTATTACTTATTTCTCTTGGATCCCTAAGGCGCCATGGTTACCATAGCAGCCAGATGCTGATGATACCTCCAGGGGGCAGCAAGGTGAAGCTGAGATAGCTCATATCTTTGCTTTCCTATGCCCTTCGCAGGCTGGTGTGTGATGGTCTGAAGCTCAGCCTACTTTTGGATTCCCACCTTGTCACAGGTAACTTAGATCCACAAACTCTGCCACTGCAGCCTCAATCTAGGGCCCTGGACACCTCTTTGGAGACACTCTTCTCCCCAAGCTTTGTCTCTTGGCACCCTGCCTGGTTGCCTTGGAAACAGGTTCCACTGCGGACAAAGGAGGGAGCTAGGTCCTGCTTCTTTCCTGGTCCTATCGATGAGGATTTTTAGACCGTGGAGACTGCGCTGCCCTGCGCTGCACCTGCCCTCATTCCCGGTGTTCTCATTCAAGTGGAATCTACCTTCTCTTGCTCCTGACGACACCATGTGTAAAAGTGTGACCACAGGTGAGTGGAAGAAAGTCTTCTATGAGAAGATGGAAGAGGTCAAGCCCGCTGATAGTTGGGATCTCATCATAGACCCCAACCTCAAGAACAATGTGCTGGCCCCTGGCTGGAAGCAGTACCTGGAGTTGCACGCCTCAGGCAGGTGAGTATTCCAATAGTAGGGGCCTTACAGGCATTATCCAAGAATAGAGCCCACAAGTTTAGGGTGAGTCTCACTGTTGGGCCAGTTTTAAATTGGGAGGCAGAGAATGAGTCCTTCACTGGGAGTTAAGACATTGGAATTTTGATGTCAGATGGGCCATTTAGCACCTGTGTCATGTTCCTTCTCTGAGTCACATTTTTCCCATCCGGAAAATAAACAAGTAGAATATTTTAAAGAGCCTAAAATGCTGACATTTTACATATTTTCATATTTTAGTAATCTCTGAAAAGGTGGATGAAACCCAAGGGAAGGAGGGGGCTTGTGGTTCAATGGGCATCAGGATGCCTGTGATTGGGACTTGGGACAGTTCATTTTAAATCCCTTTAACTCGATTTAACGTAAAATGACTTAACATATTGATGTGTACTAGAAACTGACTTTACTATTAACTCTGTGACCCTTAGCAATTCTTTTCCTTCTGTGTCCCTCACTTTCCCTATTTGCAAAATGAACTGTTAGCTTAGCATCTTTGACACTTTAGGTGTGGTCCATGGACCAGCAGCATCAGCATCAGCTTGAGTTAGAGACGGATAGTCTTGGGCCCTATCCTAGACCTGTTTAATCAGAACCTGCATTTCAATAGGTCCCTAGGTGATTCATAGGCATAATAATGTCTTAGATGACCTGCGTGATTCTGTCCTGCAGTCTTGTCCATGGGGCTATAGTGTAACGGGGTCCTGGTGTGTTGCTATGGGTTAATGTGCTGGACTGCAAAGTTGGTTTGAACACAAGGTCAGTGGTTCAAGCTCACCAGCTACTCTTTGGAAACCCTCTACATGGTCGCTATGGGTGAGAACCAACTTGATGGCACTAAATAACAAGAACATAGTGTAAAGACTTATCATTGGGATATAAGATGGGGGAAACCAAGCACTAAGGGGTGCATCCTGTTGCTTAGCAGCAAGGCTTTCCTTCTCACCCTGATTCAGTCCTTTCCATGTGAATCATCTGGTGGGCATTTTATGTACGGAGCTTATGGTCTGGTCTGAGAGAGGAAAGAAGTCCCTAAGGGAGGTGAGTAGAAAAAGATGAGATGAAAATGAAATTGTGAAGTCTCTAAACTGGCATATGGGAGGGGCGGGAAGCTTGCTGGCAGGGGCCCAGGGGTTTGGAAGGTTAGTGGTGCTGAAGCTGGAGAACTGTCGCTCTGAGAGCCTTGGCTGGTGTCCTGTGACCCTCTGCTGGCCCTAGTCTGGGAAACTATAGCCCTCAGGGATTGGTTTAAGCAGAGACTGCCTCCACTTCCATGCCTTGGGATACATTAACCCTGGCACCCACTAGAACCAGATGGGTGGCAATAATGCAATTTTTCTGGGTGTGGATCTAGCTTGCTCAGTCAGTGTTGACAGATAATAACATGTAAGTGGATTAAGGTGATTTCCTGTTGTGGGCCATTGCAGGATGTTTGAGCAGGAAGAACTCAATGTACCCTGAGAATTTTACAGGGGAGGATGAGACCTAAGGACAGGTCCAGTGGCCAGGCTTGAGGGCATGTGGTTTAGGGGAGTGAAGGCCTATGGAGAGTGGAAAGGAGGCAGGCACCGGGGCAGAGCACTGCTGGATGCCAAGTGGCCTCTGGAGGAAGGAGCCGGCTCTGTCCCAGGGCGTTCACTAGAGGGCCGGCCGGCCAAAGGCCTCCTGGGGAAGGAGACAGCTTGCTATGGAGCCCAGGGGATGGTAAACATAACGCCTCAACCTCCAGCCTCTGCTCAGCTCCCCTCAGCCCCTTCCTGAGACTGTTTCCATCACCTCCATCCCGTCTTCTCTTCCTTTCTGCCCCCTTTCCCACAGGTTCCATTGCTCCTGGTGCTGGCACACCTGGCAGTCGGCCCACGTGGTCATCCTCTTCCACATGCACCTGGACCGTGCCCAGAGGGCGGGCTCAGTGCGCATGCGTGTCTTCAAGCAGTTGTGCTACGAATGCGGCACTGCCCGGCTGGATGAGTCGAGCATGCTGGAGGAGAACATCGAGAGCCTGGTAGACAACCTCATCACCAGCCTGCGAGAACAGTGCTACGGAGAGCGTGGCGGCCACTACCGCATCCAAGTGGCCAGCCGTCAAGACAACCGGAGACACCGCGGTGAGTTCTGCGAGGCCTGCCAGGAGGGCATCGTGCACTGGAAGCCCAGTGAGAAGCTGCTGGAGGAAGAGGCGACCACCTACACCTTCTCCCGGGCGCCCAGCCCCACCAAGCAACAGGCTGAAGGGGGCTCCGGCTGCAACTTCTGCTCTATCCCCTGGTGCTTGTTTTGGGCCACGGTCTTGCTGCTCATCATCTACCTGCAGTTTTCATTCCGCAGCTCCATCTAAGATTTCCTTGGTGGGCTCAAGGCCTGTGAAAGCAAGCCGACTGGTGGGAGGAAGTCAAGTTCTAGTTGTTGCAGCCACTGCCTCAGTGACCCTGGACAAGTCACTCAATTTTGCCATCTGTAAAATGAAGGATTTGGGGCAACTCAGTGGGTTTCAAAGTGAAACCCAGAGCCCCCAAATTCTATATAGGAACCCTCAGGGACTTTTGAATTTGGAAGGTAGGTTGAGTGAGTGAGTTTCCAATTCCTGGTCCAATTAACCACCCCTGATTCCTACCTCTTCCTCTTGTTTTAATCAGAACAGGTCCATGTTAGTTGGAGCTCCATTTAAGATTTTTTTTTTTTTTTTTTAATGGAAAAAAAAATGTTCAACTGCTTTTTAAAAGTATGAAAATAACAAAAGTAGATGATCTCAAAAAGTCTTTCCACAGGAATGAACTAATTCTTACTCTCTTGTAAAGTTCCATCCTTACCCCATTATCTCCCACATCCTGTAGCTATAGCCTTCAATAAAATTTTTTGTCTACTGTAGGAATCCCATCCACAGCTCTGCCTCCCTGCGCACAGAAAAAAAGTTTCCCTTGAAGGGAGAGAGGAAGGAGTGAGCACCAGGCTGTCTTAAGAACCCCTACTTCTGTTCCCTTGTACCCTCGCGTCCACATTCCCTTCACTAAGGGCAGATTCTTGGACCTGCCTAGCTCAAAGATGACAGTTGGGGTAGAGTTACTTCAGACAAGGCTTACAATCCATTGCAGAGAAATGGCAGAGGTGTAGAAAAAAAAGGCAGAAGTGTAGCAGTAGTACTCAGAATCCCGGGGAATCAAAAGTAATGACTATGTCTCTGGGGAATCTTTAGACTTCAGGGACCAAATCTGACTAATTTTCAGCATTTCTGAAGACCAGGACATGGAGAAGATGTCTGACCTCCTGGGTCTTTGCTGAAGCCATAGTTGAGCGGCCTCAACATCCTGGTCATGTGTGGATCCTATCATCAAAGACCAACACTCCACTTAAAACCCCAAGGGATGGGGGATATTCAGCCAGGAGGGAGCATTAAAGAAGTGCTTTGCATAGTTACACAGGAGAATCTGCTATTTGTATAGAATGGGGATGCAGTACTATTTGTAGTGGGAGGAGATGACTTTTTGGTAAGTGTTGGCATAGAATGAGGTAGGGGTAGGGAAACAGAAAACAAATGATGTTACTTTTGTACCCCCCACCTCTGTTAATAACTTGACTCCTGTTCCTCCCTCACTGCTACCTCTTTAATTAAAAAGAAGGTCGCCAGCATCCATGGTGTTAGAGAAGAGGGCCACTTATATCAAGAAGGGATACTTTAATAAAGGTGGGACATCTTCTATCAGACTTCTTGTTGTTTAGTGCCGTCGAGTCAGTTCTGATTCTTAGCAACCCTGTATAGGGTTTCCAAGGAGTGGCTAGTGAGTTTGAACAGCTGACTGTGTGGTTCAAACCAGCCTTGAGGTCCAGTGCATTATCCTGCAGTGCCACACCAGGACTCCCTATCAGGCTTGGTAGTCATTCATATACATTTGAGATCATCCATACTGTCCCTCTAACTGTAATGGGCCTGTTGGTCTACTCACCTCCCTGTCCCCCTCTTCCCTTTCTGGAATCCCTACATTAGGTTCTTTCTAACTAACTCCAACCTCAAACTCAGGGCCATTCCTGTCCATAGTTGTTGTCATTGTTATTAAGTGCTGTCAAGTTGGTTTCGACTCATAGAGACCCTATATAGGGTTTCCGAGGAGCAGCTGGTGAGCTTGAACTATCGCCCTTTCTCTTCAAACCAACTGTGCAGTCCAGCACATTAGCCCACAGGGCTACACCAGGATTCCTATTCATAGTTGGGAGGGATGAAAAATCTCTTTCTGTCCAGGCTTAGGTTTCTTTCTTGACATCATATTCTCCTCCAGACCCGCCTTTTCTCCTGTTTTCACAACCATATGTTTTAAATGGTTGTCTATACTCCCTACCTGCACATTTTTGCCTCCACCCCCACAGCTCTACAGAAACTGTCCTCACCAAGGCCACCAGCAGCTGTCTTATCAATAAATCCAATGTTAGCTTTTAAACTTTATTTTTCATGACCTCTCAAAAGAGTTCAACTCCAAATACTTACCTCACTTAGTTTTAGAGATACTTCCTGTTTATTATATACCTTCATCTTTTCTGACTGCTTCTTACCATTTTTGTTACAGGTTTCTTTGCCTCTGCCTGCCTTCTGAATGTAGGTGTTACTTAAGACTCTGTCCTAAGTTTTCTCTCTCATCTGTCTCTATTTCTAGGCCTGAACTCTTCTTTAGATTTGTACTTTTACATCACCTTATTTGACATCTCTATATGACTGTTTCATAGGCACTTCAGAAACCATATGTCCACTCTGGATTTTTGTACATCACTGTTCAACTCAGTCAAATCGGACACATGGATGTCAACCTTTTCCTCATTTCATAATCCTGTTGATTCTACCTTCTTCATAAATCTGTAATCCTTTCACTTCTCTCCTTTCAGGAACAGAATAGATGCTTCTGTTAAGACTTAAGATAGCTCTTTCTGTTTGTTTGTTTTTTCCCCTAACAATCTGTTTCCTCTTCCAACTCTAAGACTGATATTGTGATTTTGAAAGTGTTTAGGGAGGGTAGTATTGTCAGAGTCATGGTATGTTGAGATTGGAAGAACCATTCTTTCATTTTGCAGATGACAAAATGTGGCCAGAACGTGGAAGTGGCTTACCCCAGGTCCCATTGTCAGTTAGTTGAAGAACATGGAGCCCAACCTTTGCCTAATTCTAGTCCAGAACTCTTTTCTAGAACTCTTTCTGCTATGCTAGGAAGAGATTAACAATTTAGGGAGGCCTCTCCTGCTTCCTTCCTCTTGTTGTCCCTTATTCTTTCTACAGATGCAGACTTCTTGGCTTGCTCATGGGCTTACCCTGTCTTGCCAAATACTTCTCTGGGACAGTTCTTTTTTGTTCACATTGCCTCATACCACATGTTGAACTTGTTAGACAGACCCTATGTGTTATAAACAAATGAATCAGGAGCATTCAGCGATCCCAGGTCTTTCCCACACATCTTGGTGCTCAAGCTGAGATGAGTGTAAGGTCTGCAAGAAATGTTGCCTTGATCTCTTTCTCATGTCTGTCTGGATAGGATACCAGCCTAATTGAGGTTCTCTTCCTGATGGTAAGGAACTGTAAGAACCGAGAAGATTACCAACTACAAAAAATGCCTATCAGAGCTATTAAACAAACTAGAATTTCCCCTAATCTAGATCTCTTATTTTACTGATGAGGACTGAGTCTTAAATAAAGTAAGGAACTCGAACAACATTGTAAAGCAGCAAGTAAAGAAAAGATCATGAAATTTTGGGCCAAGAAACACTTGAGTCTTGATTCTACTCTTAAAGCCTCTTTTTCCTCCTCATCAAAATGAGATATAAGATTGGATATGAGGTTGCAAAAATGATGTAAGACTGTGTCTTGTCAGTGCCTGGCATTGACTCATATTCACTGACTATTCACTCTCTTCTTTCCTCTGAAACTTTAACCTATCCTTTTAAGTCCTGGAGGGCTATTTCTTTTGTGATTTTGATTAAACTGTTGGCAAATACTTTAGGGAAAAAAAATGGAAGCTTTACAAGGATTGTTGTTGTTGTTAAGTGTCGTGGAGTCGGTTCTGACCCATAGCGACCCTGTACAGGGTTTCCGAGGCTGTAAATCTTTACGGGAGCAGAAAGCCTCATCCTTCTCCCACGGAGTGGCTGATAGTTTTGAACTGCTGACCGATTTGTAACCACTATGCTACCAGAGCTCCTTACAAGGATTAGAACTGGTTTATTTTAATATATGTAAAGCCATTGCTTTTCTTCCACTCCTATTTATATCAAAGGAATGACTTGGTTTTTCCAGTTTTATGGTAGCCATGCTTCATTTCTTCAAAGTTAGCTATTTTAAAAATCTCCCCAAATGGAAAACACCAGTGATTTCTGGGCCCCATTCCCATTGGCTGAAATACCCTAGAAGGAATTTAGTTGTTTTCCATGTCCCGTTCTGCTTCTTTGTAGGACTGTCAGCTAAAGAATTTCCTTTGGAATCCATTTTTGGCGTTATGTGGGTACTGCCACATGCACTAGGGAAATGAAATCCGTCTGCTGTATGACAAGCTTTTGTAAGGGTTGGTGGGTGGCAGTTGTACTGAAGAAAGCTCTTTGACATGAGAGTCAGGCAACTTGGGTTTCAGCCATGGTCCAGCCATTATGTAGGCTGATGACCTTGGGTGGCTTTATCTTTTCCCTTCCTTAGGCCTCAATTTCCCATTTGAAAGATAAAGAAATAAGATTCAGAGCTCTTTCTACTGATTCAAGGCACCAACTCTCTCTCATCGCAACAACTCAGTCCTTGCATTGGAAAGAATCTTTCTTGCATGGGACATGGCATCTCATCAAGTCCTAGCAGGATGTGGACTTTTGTCTCTATTTTTTTTCCCCAGTGTGTTTGAAATATTTCATAATTTAAAAATGAACCTAAATAAAAAGACTTAGTGTGAGGCCCAGACTGCCAATATGGATTTGGACATTGGACAGGCAAACTCAGACCAAAGCGAGATGTCGGAGCTATTTAAAGGAGGGATTTTGTTGTTTTGAATTCTGTTGGCAGGACTGAGCCACATACGTGTTTAATAGGCATGGACTAAATAGAGCAGATAGTCCCATGAGATGGGCAAGGTAGACTAGTATCACAAGACAAGTAGATGCAAGGGGAGATGAGAGTCTTCTTCACTTTCAACATCAGTTAGCTGCTTCTAAGACCTCAGACCCAGGCTGCACCGCATTGTAGTCTTGGGTCCTCAGAACTTGTTCTGGCTAATGCTGATACATGAGTATGTTGTCATAGCAACCTTATACACAACAGAACAAAACGCTATCCAGTCCTGTGTCACCTTCACAATCATTGTTACGCTTGAGCCCGTTGCTGTTGAC